ACACCATGTAGTGTTTAGTACACCCGTGACTCCGTGGTGCACTCTGTGGCTCAGTGCTCTGCAGAACGTGGGTGGTCTGGGCCTGCTGGGCTGCTCTCAGGCAGCCCTGGTGGTCAGACCCCTGTCGCTGACGGGGCCTGTGTGTGCTCTTGGTCCGCAGCCCCTCTTCCCCAAGAAGAACTACGAGTGCTTGACCAGCTGCGGCTTCCTCAAGTACATCCTGGCGGTGAAGCAGGGAGACTGCCCGGCCCCCGAGAAGGCCAGCGGGTTCGCGGCGGCCTGCGTGGAGAGCTGCGAGGCGGACGGGGAGTGCGCCGGCGTGAAGAAGTGCTGCCCCAACGGCTGCGGGCACACCTGCCAGGTGCCTAGGACCCTGTACAAAGGTGAGGAGCGGACTCGGGCCCGGGGGGTTGGGGGGTGGGGGGTGCCTGCACAGGGCTCCCGGGGGCTTGGGCCGTCAAAGTCCTGAGATGGATGGACGGCTCTCAGAGGCTTATGTTCTGACCTGCTTCCCGCCCCTGCCACACTGCAGCAAGGGAGGAGGCGGGCGGCGCCCATGGGCCGGGCTGCTCGGGCAGGACGCTCGGGTGGGTGGGCACGTGAGCAGATGTGGGTGGCCATGGAGGACGCACCCACGGGCCTCCGAGGGGCTGCAAAACGCTCTGCAACTCCACCTGGCCACCCTTCGTTGGCGCACAGACTGACAAAGCCCCCTGTATACAGGCCCAAAGTGTCCGGAGCCCGAGCCCAGAGGGAAGGGAGAAGAGGGGTGGGGGCCAGAGAGGGCCAGAGGAGCAGGGAAGGAGGGAGGGAGGGAGGGAAGCGATGTCCGGGGGGCTGTCTGCAACCATCTCGACATCTTAACGTAGCGCATGCCGACTGAGATGGGAAACTGTTACTCGCACGCACGGGTTTTTAACTTGGCCTGCGCACGGACGGCCACCATTCAGCCCTTGGCATTTTCCGCCAGCAGAACGGCGGAGGGCAGACCTGCTGATCTCCCAGCAGCACGGGGCTTCAAAGGCTTGGAGAGAGGG